TTTTATTGTTTTGATGAATAATTGATAATTTATTTTTAAGGCAATTTATAAAAAGAGATTCTATTCTATGTAATTCTATAATACTAAAACATTTCTATTTTGAAATAGTAACCAATAAACTCTGAATTTGGAATACTTTTCAGGAAATATTGTTAAGATGCCATCTTAACAAATATTTGAACAAAAACATTTCCCTTTTAAAAAGAAATGGGCACATGTTCAATCCTTGGTTTTGTGGAGGGCAGAGTATATGAATCAATAGATCTTGACTTATTCTTTAGAAAAATTGATGATCTTAAAGTTAAGGTGAAATTTCACATTTTTAGTGTGCTTTAAGATATACCATATCTTGACTGTGATTTGCAAGTTAAATATCGCAGATTATGTGTTCCTTTGAAAGACAGAAATTGTTTCCTGTGTTGGGATGAGTTTAGAATCCTGAAAATGTTTGAGTAGCTTGATAATGCAGATATTAATAATCTTGCAGATACCTTAATAAAAGAAACCACCAACTCTGGGCCTTGGGTCTTAAATTTCAACTATGACCTTTTCTATTTAATAAACACTTAATTCCCAGGAGACGAACAGGGGACCACAATTTCTGAACACTGGCACTTCCTGTGTAATTGTGACCCTTTCTCTTCACAGTGTCTGTGACGTGTTTGATTTGAAACAGTCCCTGGCCATTGGAGTACTTAGCAACTTTCTCCCTTGGAAAAACTGGCACTGTGCCTGAGATCCTTGGTGTGATCTAGCATTGTTTTGTTTTGATCACGTTCAGTGGGAAAGAGCCACTTAGCCAAATTTACATCAGCACTTTCTATGATAACTATTGGAAACTAAGCGCAAACAAAAATATTCCTATTTAATGCATTTTTGTGGCTCTTGTAGCTTGTAATAAATGAATAGATCTATTCTGACTCTTCATTTCCACACTTTCCCCATTTAAAAATATTTTGAGCAAATAGTAATGTGTTGGCATTTGATTGATTGTAGAAACCCACTAAGTAAAAGACATTGTATCATGTTGTATTGGGTTTCTGTGGCTGCTGTAGCAAAGCACCACACACTGAGTGACTTAGGACAACAGAAATGTATTGTCTTATGGTTCCTTGTCCAGAAGTACAAAATTAAGATGTTGAAATTGCCATGCTTTCTCTAAATCCCGACAAAGAGAATCTTTTTTGCCTCTTCTTTGCTGCTGGTGTTTTGCCAGCAATCTCTGTTTGTTTTGGGGGTTTTGGGGGGGTTCTTTCGTGTGTGTGTGTGTGTGTGTGGATCCTGGGATCGAACTCAGGACCTTGCGCTTGCCAGGAAGGTGTGGCACCACTGAACTACATCCCTGACCTTCCAGCAATCTCTGGTGCTCCTTGGTTTGTAGATGTATCATCATAATCTCTGTCTTCACATGGTGTTCTCCCCTTGCATTTTCACAGCATCTTTTCTGAATGTATCTGTTGCTGTGTCTGGATTTCCCATTTTTACAATGACACCAGTTGTAGTGGGTTAGAGATCGCCTGAATGACCTCATTTTATCTTATTTACTTTTGTGAAGATTCTATTTAAAACCAGGTCACATTCTGAGTACTGGGTGTCAAGATTTTAACTTATCTCTTTTGAAAATACAATTCAACTCATTACGCAGCTATTTACACATTATTTCTGAATAATCACAAAATACAAGATACTATGCTCAGATTTAGGAAGTGTATCTTTGGCTTACAGCTTCAAACTGTTGTATACTTTAGAAGAAGACTGAAGGGCAGGAGTAGGAAGAGGTGGCAGAGAAGCCTGCTGGATGTTGAATATTCTGGGTGAAGAAATGGTAATGCTCCACCAGCCTGCTCTCTTTCTCTCCAGATCTGTTCTCTTCCAATGCTCTCAGTGGCCATTGTGTTGGCCAATAATCTTTAAGCCTCCTTACAATTTTTGAATATTTGATCTGAGATTTCATCAAAGGATCGGTGCTTTGAGATCAGGTGAGGATATTTGAGTTGAAGAAGTGGCTAGAGCATAAATATGTGCATATCCACACATATGCCGAGGATAAGGGAGACAGCACCCAAGGCAGCCTGGCTGGAGAGAGCTTTGACTGTCAGGACACACCCCTTCTACCCTATCTGCTGCAGATACCTAGATGATAAAAGTGGGTACTTTACATCTCTTTCTTGCCTTAGAATTAAGGTAGAAGTGTCATACTGCTTTCCATAAAATATTACTATATAGTATATTGTGATGGAGAATTAGGACCATGGAATTTAAACTAAGGAGAACTGTGTCTGGACTCTTCCCATTGGAAGCAACCTAAAATAACACCAAGAGTTATTTTTCTGCACTGAAGACTTACAGTGTTTTTTGTCTCTGGAGTCTTTTAAAAGTTATGTAAATCACCCACCTGTGGTTATCATATATGTTTATATCTTTTTTCCATGTGGGAATATATGCATGGGCATTTGGAAGACAGGGATTTTCTCACCTACGCTAAGATATATTCCCCCTGGTCTCTCATATTTTAATATCTTTGAAAGAAGGATGTGCCTTATAATCTATTGGTTGTTATTGTTATCTTCATGACAGAATTGCCGTGGACTTCACAGTGATGATCCTGGCTGTAGCTCTTGGTTGTTTCATCACATCAGTTGAGTTATGGGATAGTTCATATGATGAATTTAATTGCCACTTAAAATGCTGATGGACTATATTATAATTCAGCAGCAAAATAATAGGAATTAGTCTACAGAACAGCACAGGAACAGAGAAATGGAGGATAAATTTAATGGTGCTAAAGCCAATACAAATAATTGTATTCATATTTTCTTCCAAAATGATAACTAAGTTCTATATGTAACCTAAGAAAGAGAGAGAGAGAGAGACTGTTATTGTTTGTGTCTAGATGTCCCCGAAAGCCTCATGCAGTCATAGGAGAGGCTTTTTCAGAGGTTGGTGGATCTAGAGTGTGTGATGCTGGGATTGATTCATGGTGCAATGCTAGGATCAAGGGCACTAGGATTAAGGGTGTGAGTGCCACCTGACGTAAGAAGTCTGCATAAGACAAAAGGGACAGAAAGACACAGTTGAAGTCCCTTATTGCTTTTGCTGTCTTCTGAGTGCAATGAACTGTTATTCTCCTTCTCATCCCTGTGCCACTCTATCTTGGAGCCAGCCAACTGTGGGCTGACACGTCTATGAACTATAAGCCAAATAAACCTTTCCTCCCTTAACTTTGGAGGTCGGTATTTTGTCTCAGCAATGAGAAAAATAACTAAGACAGACACTCTCAGTGGTTGAAACGTTGTTAAATTTTGTACTAAATTTGTGGGCAGGAAGATTGCTTATCATTTGCCAGGCAAGGTAATTGAAGACAGAAAAAAGTGCCAGTAACCTCTAAGTAGATAAAAGAAACAGCAGTGCAATGAGACTTGGTATGGCCGGCTCACGTATTCATACAGTCATCAGGACACCGTGCCATCGGGTAGATGGAAGTGCTCTTTTCTCAGTCAACATAAAGTTGTGGTGTACCTTATAACTGATGGTATCACCGCTTCAGAGCAATATGATATTTCTTTGCCATCTCCATGAGTCCTGGTTCTTAACATCTTGGGAAAGTAATTGCCATTTATTGCCTGATTTTTAGGCTTTATCAATTTAAATAGAAAAGTCCCCTATTATTGTTATTGGTAGGGTGGGAGGCTATCGCCATATGTAAGAGAATGAGATAATACTTCCTTTAGACTGCATAGTGCCTGGAAAACAAGGTTTAAGTGAGGAAATGGAATACATAGGATGTCTGGTATGAGAGAAGACTGAGACACAGGAACAATGGAAAAGGTTTGGCAATTAATTATCACTATTCCAACACAAGCTGGGGAGTATTGTCACCAAGGGACACTCAGTGACAATGTGGGTAAGTCTTGTCATGATTATTTCTACTTCTACTCCCACTTAAACACTCCAGTTTTAGCCTAATCATACAAGTAAGTGCATGCATTGATTCAGTTCAGTGGATAATTCTATAGCACCTATAAGATAGCTATTCCTTAATATGTTTGTTGGATTGTGGTTAGTATTAATATTTCTAAGGATACCTCTTTGGCCATCCCTCTTCAATTTGTTTTACACTTCCCCATCCATTTGCTTTGTATTGACTGAAGATTTCTTCCCCACCCTCTCATGTACATCCTGAAGTTTTATATTGTTATTCTCACTGCTGTGGCTTGGATATGGTTTGTCATCTAAGGGTCCATGTGTTACAACCATGGCCCTCAGAGTGGCCATGTTAAAAGGTGGTGGAACCATTAAAAAGTAAAGCCTAATAGAAAAACCTTGTCTTCTGAAATGCTGCTCTTGGAAGGGGTTAGGTAGTTTTCATGGAGCCCTGAGATAGATCTCAAAAGAAGGAATTATTATAAAAAAGCAAGACTGGCCCCTTGCTTCCTGTCTCTCCAATGTGATCTCCTCTACCCATATGTGCTCCCTCCATAATACCATTCGCTATGATAAAATGCAACCAGTGTTCCTCTCCAGAACAGCCATTGTGCTATTTGAATTTTCAATCTTCAAAACCATGAGCTAAACAAACTTCTTTTCTTTAAAAGTTAATGAGCCTCAGGTATTTTGTAATACCAACAGAAAATGACTATGACATTTATCTTTTCATTCAACATACTTGTGTGGCTAGTAAAAACCTTGATTCCATTCATGGCTGTAAAAGTTCTTCTACTTTGTTGCTTTGGATAAAATACTTATACAATCTATATGTCTTTTTGTAGGACTCATAAAAAATTATACATGCTTCATGTATATTTACTATCCTGTAAAAGAAACAATAAACATTTATGTTTGCAGGAAAGAAATATTTATTTCATATTTAATATATATACCAGATACTTTATATTGTGTTATAAAGTCTTAACTACTTCCTTTTATTTAATCCATAAACAACTCTATGAATTACACATAGGAGTCATGCACTTTAATATTATATAGTACATTCTCAATATGGTAAAATGGAGGCACGAAATGCTTACAAAGCTATAATGTGACAGTTTAACCGTAACTGTTTCTTTCTCTAAACCTGTGCTAAACCTGTTTTTACAGTATACATTAAGGAATATACTGGAAAATCCTAAACTATTGCAGAATGCATCTTTGTTATTGCTGTAGTAATAATAGACATTCCCTGAACACATCTTTTGTACTAAAGTTCTAAGTTTTTACAAGTATTAATGAACAACCTAACTAAAATATAAAAATCATTATCTTCCTAAACAAGGAATCTGGGCACAGAGTTAAGTACTTGGCCTCAGATTAAGAAGTTGCAACTGGAAGCAGGAGTCCGAAGGAGGCAGACCATCCCAGAGCCTTCCTGTGTAATCCCTCCAGAGCCTCAGCTTTTCACGTCGCAGTGTGAAAAACTAAAGCCCAGGGAACCCTTCGGGCAGAAGCTGCAAAGGATCCCAAGGTGAGTTGCCCTTTATTTTCAGGCTTTAAGAAGTTGTTGGCTCTTTACCTGTACACCTCAGGATTTCTGATCACTAAGTGGATAGGAGTAGAAAGGCAGCGATGAGTGTATTTTCACTCCATACGTTTCTGTTCTGCTCCCTGGTGACACAATGTGTGGACCTCGTTAGCCGTGCCCGGAACACGAGATTGCCCTCACTTCCCACCTTTCAGCCTTGTCCGTGCTCTCCACTTCAGCCTCTCCACACCAAACACACAGAGCTGAGTGGAGCCCCTTCTCCTCCCCAACACACACCGCCACACACACATCCAGACATACTCACACAGATCCTCACACGTTTGACTACACGCTCAGACGCACTTGTCTTTGTCAAAGTCTCAGCTCACAAGGTCCTCATCAACTACCAGGCCCTTGGCAAGTCCTAGTCTACTGTCTTTTCCCACCTCAGTATGATTCCTCACCCTCATCTTCTCAGAGTGAAATAAGAAGTTATCTCCTCAGGAAGTATTCTCTCTCCTCTCCTTGCACCCTGCTCCCAGGGCTGGGAACAGTGAGTCCTCTCTGTGCTCCTACACTCCCTGAACATGCCTCTCTCAGGCCACTGTTACAAGTGCTCTCTTGGCCAGCTTTCCAGGGCAAAGAGTAGGTAATTAATCATTCTTTGTGTTCAATGGAGTGTTTGCCATACAACTGCCCTAAAAAGCATGCATTAAATAAAGGAATCAATGAAAAGAGAACAAAGCTGGAAAATGACATCAGGCACTAAACTACCTCTTCCCTACCTATACTTTTTTAAGTGGGTCAGAAACTGCTAATCACATATTTTGAGGAGATTTTTCCCCAGTCTTGCTCAGCCAAATGACCTAAAGGAAAGGCTCCAAATGAGGAGAGACAAAAAGGTCAGAACTGGTGTTGGAGCAGTGGCTGCCTTGAGAGAAGCTTCTGGATCACAGAATGCAAATATTTCCCTTCCTGTTGGCAGCAATCTGAGCCAGATAAGAAGATCACCTAACCCAAAATGATGGGTCACATGCCAGTGTGGGCTACACAGAGGGCTACTCAGCAGTTTTGTCTGTCTCACAGGCAAAAATACATTTTCAAGTGTATCAAAATGATCAAAAGAAAGGAAAAAATGTGCAATGATGCTTGAAGTTGTGAAGTACAATGTTCTGAACTGTGGGAAGAAAGCTCATACAACCTTCAAGCCAGCCTCCTCTCACTGCTTGGCAAAATGTTAAAGACATTTTTTGTTTTCCAAGGACTTTTACAAGTGGATTGATGTTTGACTAAATCAGACTCTGGCCTGTGCTGCCAGTTTTCACTGCCTACTCATTGTGGGGGCTACAGAGTGCTTCTAACAAAAAAGAGTGTCTATGAAAAGTAGGGTTACTGAAAATGTTACGATAAATCGATAATACATTAGAAAAATACTTAGTTGGATTTATTTTGCCCTGTAGGAGAAAAAAATGCCTGCCTTATTTGTCAATGAATGGGAGACAACTCTAGACATAAAGTCAGAAATCCAGATGTGAACCTGAGTTCATCCTTTTATGGGCCTTGAAATCTGGAGCAAGTTATCCAACTGCCCTGCATGTTGGTTTCTTAGTCATTAAATAATGCTTCTTTCACAGGATTATTATGAAGAGAAAATGAATTAGCGTAGGGAAAAATAAGCTTATGTTTAAGACAGGCGAGATGGTAATGTCAGTATCTTCATTATTTAGAGAAAATAAATAATTTACCTAGTTTAATTGTTTAAAATGTTTATCAAAAGATGTGCCAATAATTTTAACCACAGTTTTATTTACTAACAAAGTGAATTATCAAATTCCTAATATTTTTTAATAAAATATGTTTTAAATTCTTCAATATTTAGTAACTGAGCAGAAGGGGCTCAGTGGGCTCAGCAGTGAATCTTTTAAGAAAAGAGGAATGCTACCAGTAAACCCAGGACAGTTTTTGGTGAAGTGATCTCTCAGCTGGGGCATGATTGCTGCTGAATTCCTGGAAAAATCAAGGAGAGGAACATAATGTAGATAACTGGAATGGAACTCTTTAAATCAGTGGCATCCAGATTAAAACACATGTACGTGCACACACACACATACACACACACACATACACACACACATCAGAACATCATGCAAACTTCTTGGTCCCATTTCATTTCTGAGGAGTCAGAATCTCTGGGACTAAGACCAGGATATATGTATTTTTTTAATGCTTAAAAAATGTTTTTATGTTCATCCACTTTGAGTTAGAGTTAGTACTTTAAGATTCATAAGCAGTTATTTTCTAAAGTTATTAATCATAATTCTAAAGGACAAGATATAGTGAGGATATTTGTGTAATATGTAAAATTCTACTTATAGCTAAATTATAAAGAATATTTATGTATCAATATTATTCTTGTCTTTTGTTGATTTACATGTAATATTCTCTTAATTTTTTTTGAAATAGGATTTTGATCAGTTGCCCAGGCAGGTCTTGAACTCACAAAATCCTCTTGCTTCAGCCTCCAGAGTAACTGTGTACCACCACAAACAGCTCCTTTGACCTTCAAAATAATGAAACTTTTTATTTCCTTAAAATCATTGTATTGACTTCTTCAGTCAAGAAAGGAATCTATGAGTTGAATTCCTCATTAGGTTATTTCTTATGTGCCAACTACTGTTTTATTTTTTCACTTTTACTATTTTATCTATACAGTGATACTATGAAGCTGGGACTATTATTATCCTGATGAAATGGGTACCAAGAGTTTAGTGATTAGCCCATGGTCAAAAAGCAGGTATTAGCACCAAAGTTTCAACCTAGGTAGGTTGGTTCTTAAAAGTCTTCACTTTTATTATCATTAGAAGGAAAATTATTCATTGAAAAACACTTCTCATTCATGTAATATATGCCAGGTAACATATTAGACACTAATACAGCTATGATTAAAAAAAAAAAGTCATGCTTTCAAGTTGCTTGAGAGATAAGCAGTTAAATAGTCAGCCAGAGTGACATTTTAAAAGTTCAAGGACCCAGGAGTGCATGTAGAAAGGCAGATAATCAGACAAAGATTAGTTGCACCATACTTAAGCATAGAACTGGGAGCTAAGCCACTCATATGTTTTAATACGATGCATAACAGTAACAGGACTTATGACTTTAGCACAATATGCTTCAATTTCCCCTCTAAAATGTGGGTTAGTATTGGTGCCAAAGTCATAATTTGCTTGAGAATTCAACATGATAGCCATGTAATTTACAAAGCACACAGTGAGTGCTCAGTGGTCAGCTCAGTCTTGCCTTCTTTTGAAACACTAAGAGGCTCCCTCACTAGAAACACACAGAAAATGCAAAACACAGAAAAAACCAGTTAATCTATCAGTGGGTGTATTAATTGTATATTCATCTACTAATTGTTGATTAGCTGAATGATAAAGAGAAGTAAGGACAAGAAATAATTTATTTCATACAGATTTTATGTTTATATGTTTTGCTTTTTCACCAGTTTTGCTTCTCCCCTCAACCTGAGAATATTTTTGTGTGAGAGCTTCGCTATTTAGTTTTTTAGATAAACAGAACATAATATACTGTGTAGTCACTAATGTTCCAAGAATAGCCTTAAGGTTATTTTAGCAATCTATTTTCCCTCCCACCTGTCTTTTCCCCAAGGTGTATCTATTCCAAAATTATATTTAGTTTTAAACTTAAATCTTAGACTCACTGAAAAAAAACTACCTAGATTTTTAATATCCCCCAGAAACAAAATCTAGTCTGTATTTTCTTTGCTTTGTTATAATCATTTTTGGGGAGATTTAAAAAACTCAATTTCTGTTATGGTGGTATCCTGTGACTAACATCAGCAAGCATTGTTCTCCTCACCTGGGCTGTCCTGGTTGAAAAGAGAAAAGAGACTACAACTTCAACGTTTCATCGGCAACATCTTGACATTATTTGACTCTTACTGATGCCTAATAGTGTGATAATTTTTACATGTTGAGTAGAAGCAGGTGTAACACTTACCTGGTGAATTTATGTCTCCTAGACTGATGGGTTGGTAAGACAAAACCTGAGAAGTAAAGAATGAGTGATATTCACAGATGAAGTGTAACTTTCATGTCATTGAAGTTCTCAAAATATGAACTCATCTCTAATCCCAGGCAAGATCACATAGGCAAGATGCAGCCATAGGATTTTATATCTTTGGTGTTCTTTCTTCTCTTCTAGTCTTCTTGTTTTCTAAATTTCAATTAAAAGGAATCTTTTTGGTTCCTGCCAACCTCTATTTAAATTATCAGCTCATAACTACTGTAAAATTCATTGACAGTGATGGGTGAAGAAGACAGATGTTTATCTTCTGAGATCACCTTATTCAACAGAGCATCAAATCTTAAGATCCCTAAGATTATTCAGGAACGATTGCAGCATCAAGGTATCATTTGAAGTCTTTATACTTTTAGAGCAAGTAAATATTGTTTATAATTTATTTTTAAAATTATAATAAATTTACCAATAAGATATTAGAGTCAATCTATTGTTCTGATTTTGGTATTAACAAATATCTTAGTTAACTTTTTTGTTGCTGTATACTACTTAAAAGAAGAGACAGTTTGACACAGTTTGTAGAGGTTTCAGTTCATAGTTGGGTGACTCTAAGGCAGAGTGGCATGGCAGAGCCGCATGGTGAAAATGAAAAGAGCAGCTTATGGCATGATAGCAAGAAGCAGAGAGAGATCAAGGAAGGAGAGAGAGACATACACCCTTCCAGGCCACACCCCAGTGACCCACTTTCTGAACAGACTGCACTCCCAACATCACATTTAGCTATAAATTCATCCACTAATAAGTATCATGCCCCTGCAATCCAATCACCTCCAAATAGCCCCACCTATGAGCACATGAGGCTTTAGGGGGCATTTAGGTTAATTAATTACTTAATTTATTTATTTTGTGGTATCGGGGATCAAACTTAGTACCTTACGCTTGCAAGGCAGGTGCAGCACCACTGAGCTAAATCCCCTGCCCAGGACATTTAGATATAAACCACAACACCAAATAGACTCTTACACCCTCATTCAGAGATAATTTATGAAGAAATAGAGTTCAAAATAATTTTTGAACTGTAAGAATCTTATATATGTAGGTTTTTCAAATAATATAACAAAAATGAGTTATGCAGTGTCTCCCAAAATGTCATGTTTTTTAGATGTTTCTTGAGTTTGTAAATGTCACTTTTGTTGCATAATCAGAGTAGATATTTTTATCATGAAATATTGATATAGAAACTAACCCTGAGTCATTTGCATTATTACAACAATTCATGTAATGAGCCACATTATTCATTAAGTTAATTCATATTTAATGACTATTATGTGTAAGGAATGCAAGTTTGTTCTATTTTATAATAAAGATGGTCTCTATACTTGTGCAATTTATAGTCTAGTAGCAGAGACAATACTTACCTATAATTACACGAAAAAACATATAGTGACAAATTTATTAAATTCTCTAGAGCGGTGGTTTTCAGTCTCAGATTAAGGGTGGTTTTCCACCCCTCTCCCCAGAGAGTTTGATCACATTTTTCTTTGTCACAGCTGATCATGGTGGAGAGTGAAGTGGTAGTGGGTAAAGGCTGAGGAGGCAGCTAAGTATCCTATGATGGACATTTTAAAATGCACCCCCCACGAACAAAGAATCATCCAGTCTAAAATGTCAGTAGTGTCAAGGTTGAGAGACTGCTCTAAAAGAAAAAATACAGTATTTGAGGAGCATACACTGTTGGAGGGGAGTGGGAATTAAATAAGGCCTCTCTATTATCCAGTATGGAAGTTTACAGAGAGATAAATTACACATTAAAATCATAGGGTGTCTTAGTTACTTTTCTTATTGATGAGACAGAATAGCGAACACCCATAATTAAAAGGAGGAAAGGTTTATTTAGCTCACAGTTTGTAGAGGTTTCAATTCAGAGGTGGCTGGCTCTGAGGCAGGGTGGTATGACAGAGGAGAAACAGCTCATGGCAGGCAGAAGACAGCAAAAACAAGCAGGCGACCCACAAATGACAATAGCAGCTTCTTTCTGCTGACTTTATATTTTATCTAGGCTACCGGGCATAGGGCATGTGCCAAACCAGTGGACTAATTTAGTAATCACACACCTTTATTCTTAGCACCCTTAATCCTAGCATTGCACCATGAATCAATCCCAGTGTCACACACTCTATATCCAGCCACCTCTGAAAAGCCCTATCTACAACTGCATGAGGCTTTGGGGGGACATCTAGATACAAGGCATAACATAGGACACATTTGTCTTGCTTTACTTCTAGCCCCAGTAAAGATTTCAAATAGGGAAAACTGCATTCCTATCTTTCTTACTTTCTTTATGATGAGACACAATATCTGACACCCACATTTTAAAGGAAGAGAGGTTTATTTTGGTTCACAGTTACAGTCAATGGTCAGATTGCTCCCTGTCAGGAACAGGATGGCAAAGAGGTATGGTGGAGGAAAAAGTGCTTAACCCATGAAGGTCAGGAAGCAAAGGGAGAAGGGAGGAGCCTGGAAGGGAGGTATAACCCTCTAAATCATGCCCCAGTGACACACCTCTTCTAATTGGACCCGTCCTCCTAACAGCAAGTCACCTATATATACTGACTTCACAATTCAATCACTTTCTAAAGCCCTGCCCATGAGGCTCTTGGGGGAAAATCTAGATATAAATCACAGCACTAGTTAGTGAGGAAGTCAGAAAGTGAGGGGCTATTTGGTGAGGGCTAACGTGAATGGGAAGCAGAGTATGTAATTAGGCACCATCTCAATAATTCGATCATAGTCGGTAAGGACTGGTTATCAGAACTTGACTTTGTTCCTTATTTGTTATTCTGTTATGCTGATTTTTTCTCTTAATACAAACCAAAACAAGCAAATACTTTTTACAAACAAAAAGGGTTTATATGGTTGTTATTGAAAGTAACATAGTGCCCAGGCAAGGGTGAGTCTCACATCTCAGCCAGCCCTGGAGAAGAGCCAATCATGGACAATAAGAGCTATAGCTCTAAAAATGCAACTAGAGTTGACCAATCTCAGGTGTGTCCAGAAAAAAAAAGCCTGGAATATAATTCAGAGCTGACAATATAAAGATCACCCTGAATTAGGCCAGTGGTAAGCAGTGAGCCTGATGTCATTATCAGTGCTGCCTATCAGCCGTGTCTCTTTCCAGCTGGTTTGGTGAGATTGCAGCAGTTAATGATTAATGTGTTCTACAACTTCTCAATTGAAATGTTTCTGGTACCTTTCTGGAATTTTTCATCTACATAGGAAGAGAAATATTAAAATAATATAACCAGAACATTCCTAACTCAAGAATATAATATAAATCTATCCAGAAACCATAAGGTCATTACCAATTCAGAAATGGCAAATGGTATAGTGCTGTATTTGTTCCTGTGTAGTCAAAATTAAGGGCAGTGGGATTTTGTGATTCTTCCTACATTCCTGCCTGGCTGGGTCTTCTCCAATTTATCCTGGGGAGAGGAAAATGTAATCTTTATTCTGTCTTGGTTTCCTGTCTTTCCACATATTGCTTAGCTCCTTTTGTATGCTTTTTTGGCTCCAAACCAAAGATATTGATATCTCTGGCAAATGGGAAAGAAGCTAACTCAGGATATAGCTCAATAGTTGTGATTATTTTCATTGTACTTGTTATGGCTTGTGTCTATATTTTTCCCCAAAGCCTCATGCAGTCATAGGTGGGACTTTTTCCAAAGTGACTGAATCTAGAGTGTATGATGCTGGGATTAAGGGTGTGTGATTACTAAATCAGTCCACTGATTAGTTTGCCCACCCTAATCCCAGTTCCCTGATAAAGTATAAAAGGGACAGAAAGAAGCTGCTAAGGTTCCTTGCTTGCTTTGCTACCTTCTGGCCACCATGAACTGTTTCTGTGATGCTTGCTTGCCATGCCATCCTGCCTTGCAGCCAGCTGACTATGAACTGAAATCTCTCTAATTGTGAGCCAACTAAACCTTTCCTCCTTTAACTTTGGGTGTCAGGTATTTTGTATTAGCAATGAGAAAACCAAGGCAGTGATAGAAAGTTTTCTACATATATAACCTATGTTGTGGCATTTTTCATGAAAAATATCTTTTTTTTTGTATTAAATTCTTTTATTGGTACATTGTAGGTATACAACACAATTACATTTCTCATTGGGAATTGTACCTTTATATAATGCATCTCTTGGTATGAAAACTATCTTGGTCCACATTTGAGTTAAAAATGGTTCCCAAGTATTTTCTTTTTAATTTGACTTAAAAATGTTTAGTGTTAGATTGTGTGTTACCACAAAATTATATGTAAGAGCTATAGAACATCTGGAAAATTCTAAAGAAAGAAAACGAGAGAAAATAAAAATTCCTTTAATCCAGACATTGGTAACTCCTGTTAATAAGTTAAATTATCTCTTACATATTAAAACATTTTTTTTTACAGTATCAGGGATCAAACTCAGGACCTTGCGCTTGTGAGGCAGGCGGCAGCACCACTGAGTCAAATCCCCAGCCCTTTTTTAATGAAGTAAAATAGATAAAAAGAGTTCATGTCCCAAAAATATATTAAAGATTTCAGCTTTGAAAGTTAAAGATAATCTTAACGTACTTCTTAAACCCTTAATACACAATAAAGCAAATAATCTTGAGTATTGACATAGAATAAAGAGTAGTGAAAATGTCAGTCACACTATTTGAAAGGTTCTAACAAATGGTTTAAACCATTTTTAGTGTAATTTTGGGCCTGAAGTTTTAAATATTCAACATTCTAATAAATGGGCTGTTATAGAAATAGAAGATTTTGTTCCTTTTCCAGTGAGAATTATTTATTTATTAGCCCTAGTTTTGTAACTGAATGCCAAGTACATATTTGTAACAAACAAATCACAGTAGGACGACCCAAACATAATTCAATTACCTTTGTTTTCTACAGAGAAAAATCAGTGAAAAATGTATTTGTGCTAATCGATGGCCAGTTATTTGTACTTAAAATTTGTTATGTGCCTAAAAATATTATTGAATAGTATTCTATTCCTAAATTATTTCATTTCCTGACAATATATTATCTTAAATGTCTCTGGAGCTCAGCTTTATCCATGAGGTCATTATCTTTGATTTTAGCTGTGGCTATTGTAGACTGGTCTACACAAGCTTCAACTCACACAGCACTGGAATGGAGGCTTCATGTATGCTGCTTGCCATTGTTTTCTGCCCTGAAAGTCTGCAGACCCCAGATGTAGGAAAGATCTTGCTTAGTTAGTAGGCAGATAACTTAAAACTTTGAGGAAGCTAATACTCCTGAAGACAAATCCTGATCAATGGCCCAAGAATCTAAAAGAAAATTCCCCCCTGACTTCTCTTCTTCAGAGAGCAGTTCTAAAGAGATACCAAATATACTTCTCAGGAGGCTCTGGCAGAATTGCACTCTCATTGTCATAGCACTGACATTAACTGACACATATTTCTGATCATTTTTCTCTTTTCTTTCCTGCCTTATATTCCTCCCCATTCCTGTTCACTGGACTCACCTCCAACATAAACTTCCTACACAAAAGTCCTTCCTCTGGATCGAAGATAGCAGGTAGGTGTGATCTAGTAAGTTATATTCAAGTTATATTCTAATAAAATTGAACCATGCTGTTCAGCATGTGCAATCAGAAGTGTTCCATAGGACTCTAGAATACATACCATCTTGGTCAAAAATAAATTCAAACTTCTAAATATGAACCAAACTTGTAAATAATTGATTCAAACTTTTAATATGAATTTAGTTATAATATCACCAATTCCTGGCTGTGTGGCACTAATCAGGGACTTCAACGTCGCGGAGAGTTGATTATCCATATTAAGGGTGCTAATATCTACTTCATTGCAGCACTAGCCACAATTACCAAGATAATGAACACAACACAAGTGTTCATCAATAGATAAACAATTAAATAAAATGTGATATATATGTACAGTCAGATATGACTCAGCTTTAAAAAAGAAGAAATCCTGTCATATGTGTTAACACGGATGAAACTTGAGAATATTGCTAAGCGAAACAAGCCAAATACTGCATGAGTCCACTTATATGAGAGCTCTAAAATAATCAAGCACAAAGAAGCAGAGTGTAGAGTGGTGGGTGCCAGGGGTTGGGAGGATTGGGAAATGGGTATAAAGTTTCAGTAAAGCAAGATGAATAAGCTTTAGAGATCATCTGTACAACATCACACCTGCAATTAACAGAACTATATTGAGCACTTCAAAATTCACTATAAGGGCAGCCCTCACATTAAATGTTGCAACTACAATAAAAAAGTAATAAAAGTCTGACAGTGGCAATGGAAGTGCATATGGAATAAATAAGGAAGTAACTCACTGGAATGCAAAAGAACTATTGGCAGCTGATAAGGAGAATTCTAAGAAATGTCCCTTATTTGTAATACTGAAGCAAGAGACTTAGCTTTATTATGTTATTTTTATTTTTTAAATACTTGGGAACAAGTTATTCCCCTCTAGACCCTAGCTTATTGTGTTCTGCCATAACATCTTTAAAAATGCTCTTTTTTCCACAAACACTGGCATTATAGTCCTCTTTAATGCTTTCAGTTTACAGCAGCATGTGCTGTTGAGCTGCTGGAAGCTGCCAAGGCAGAGAATAGTGTTCAGGGTATGTACTTTGCAGTGACAAGAGACAGTGATGTCCTTCACCTTGAAATTTTATTAGGAATCACATACTAATAAGAATACAGGTGTGGAACATTGAGAGGCACCATCTTTAAAGTAAAATTAGAGTTTAGATATGAAGTAGCTCTTTGTTAAAAACCACATCTTTTCAAAAAGACTCAGAGAAAGCCAAAAGCCTCTATAAATTTTCACAAATGTAAAATGCTTGTAGCACATTCATTTATTTAGATTTCTTCTATTATGCTGCCCTGATTGTAGAAATCTACCCTAGACTTTAAAACATGTTGATCCTTGGCTAGTTAATGAATCGTGTAATGACACTGCAGTTGAGTTGCTGGAACAAATGCAACCAGACACTTGGAGAGAGGGTAAAAAAATTTCTTAGGTGGCAAAACCAAATAATGAGCTAAGGATTAGTTACCTCCAAAAGATTTGCTGATAAGGAAAGGTATTCCACAGTGAGAATTCTTGTTCCCTTGCTTTCATTCCACTAAAATTGTCAATCCTGACATGTGCTCTTTGAACTATGGAGCATTTAATATGTTAAGGCTTCGAAGTTAGATTTAATTTTGCCCTACACAAGCATTGTGTCTGGCTTTTTGTTTGTTTTTTTGTTGTTTTTCAGTTAAAGATATTGGCTTCATCTTGCAGTATTTTATATAAAAATATGTATATACCCACATATACATGACGTATATAACATGCATATACCAATACAAGTATACATATATATATAATTCCATGATTTCTAGGCACTCAAAATGACATCAACATATATCAATAAGCAGAACATTTTAATGGTAAGCAGCTTCAATGCATGTTTGTGAAAGTACTAGTTGAGCTAATTACTAGTCTTGATCTTTTAAAAATAGCATAAAATAATTTCAGGAGATGATAGAAAAAACTCTCCATAACATTTTTTTAAAGGTATTATGACTTCTGATTCACACAGATTTAGTCAAGATATCACCAACCTTGGTTTGGTTGATTTAAATATGTAGTATGATATCTCGGTGCTTCTTTTGTACTTTTCCAACCTCAGTGTTAAAAGAGTTCCTTGATTTTGTCAACATTGCCACTGTCTAAAGGTTATCTTGATGCAGCAGAGATTTCATTACTGCTTGAGCTTGCTATTATGAAATGTAATTCCACTCAACAAAGAGTTTCAGGTCTACACATTTCATATTTCAACAAATCCTGGGCTGGGAATTTAGCTCAGTGGTTCTGCCGCCTCCCTCATAAGCACAAGGACCTGAGTTCAATCCCAGGTACCAAATAAACAAACAAACAAACAAATTCTTAGATAATTAGAATGATGTTTCTGTCCTGAGGTATGATTATAGCTTATAGGATCATGCTTCTTTGTTGTTGCCATTTTTGTTTATATTTGAGAGATCATAAACTTTCCTTTTTAAATAAAGTACATTCAACAAGGATGCTCATTCTTTTCTTTTTTAATTTGTTAAGTTTATTGGTACATTTTAAGTATACAATATGTTGACATTCATCATTGGGAATTTGTACCTTTACATGATGTATCTTGCTTCTTCTTTTTTCCCCTTCCCCTGCCCTCCCTTCAACCCCTCCACCCCTCCCTATTTACAAAGACTTTGTTTCCACTTTTTCCTTTTCTCATATTTATTCCTTTCACTTCCCCTACCCCACCCATTTCCCCTTCCCCTTTGGGCCTTATCTTCCTATTCCACATTACCTATTATACATTTTGATCCTTATTTACACTTTCAGTTTTTCACACCAGAGAAACTATTTAGTATTTATACATGTGTGTTCTGTTTATTTCACTTAAGAGTATCGCCTCAATGTAAGGATGCTCATTCTTGATTCAACCCTTGCCCTCTCCCATCTTTAGAAGAGGTTCTGTGGTTCTATCTTGGATCTTTCTAAATAAAAGGGTCTTTCTAGTGGACTCCAGATTTTGCAATTTATTATTAATAGGAATAAGCATTTAAGTGTCTGTGAGTATCCATTGCATATTTATGAACATTGAAATCCAGGAGCTTGGTTGGATAGCATATGCAGGCATAAGTGAGGCTGTGCATGTTAGTTTCTGAAAGTTCAGACCTCAGACAGGCCTAGGAACCCAGGATTTGACTCTGTTAATAAAAGATGTACATTGGGCCTCCTCACATCCCACTAAATCCATGTATGTACCAGATTCCAGGCTGAATTGATATCAACTACTTTACATTTTAGATAGTTTGCTTCAGAGCCTGGGATATTGAAAATATATTTCTAATCCCAGAACTTGAGGAAGTTTCCCTTAAGGATAAGGCGTCCTGTCCATTTACATGAATACTTCCTCTCTGAATAATGGACTACAAAAATCCATATTTCATTGTCTCTGACATCTGGTAGCAAATGCCACTGTTAATGGCTAGCATTCTAGCTACAAAATTAGCAAGTAATAAATATAAGACTAGTATTTATAGTAACTTTATGAATACAAGACGTATTAGGAGTGGATAAAATTTACTAAGATTTCCACTAAAAGATCCAAATTCCAAGTTATAAAGTCTTTATTGTACATCTCATCCCATTACTTGGCTTATACACACACACAAACACAAGGCTTCCATGAATATTACACCTGTTCTATACAGTTTCCAAGGGCTGGAGAATAGTGTATATGCACCGTGATTTGGGTTTAAATGTCACTAGCAGCCCAGGAGGGATTATCTAAACATTTTCAGGAACTGAGTCTTCTTTAAAATTATTCAGTGTCTTCTTTTGTATTATCTTCTTTTCTGCCTCCCTATAATGATGCTAGCTTTTTATCAGTTGTACTACACATTGCTTAGTTTTATCATTCAATACTAGATTTTATACTTGGGTGCATCTAAACTAGATGGAACTTGTATAACAGTATATTATGAACAAGCTAATTGGACTGGTTGCCTCTCAGCTTTTCTGGAACTAAATTTAGTTTTATAATTTCTCATAAAACTTTCTTACTCTTGATTCACCCATGATACTATATATAATGTCTTTTCTAATTGACACATTAACATACATCCAATAAAGAATATTCCAACTATAACCTGTTACTGACATCATTACAGAGGCTTATAAGGATGTTGTCTTTGCTCTTTTTACAACTGGGCTCACACTCTTCCTCGTGATATTCTCTTTCTCATATTCCTGTGTTTGCCTTTCTGGAGAGCGTGGATGCTGGAGGAGAAGGTTATGATATTGAGAACCTCTAGTGACAGAAGAGTTGAGAAAAGAGAAATGAGAGACTAGGAAATGGTAATCCCTGAGAGCTCTGGCCCCAACTAATGAAATGAGGAGAATGCTTGGAGATACAATGAATCCTAGTGTTTGGGATATAGATCTAAGACATTTACCACTTAGTGGAAATTTGATGTTAACTAACAGATTGATAACCCTTAGTCAGCTACGTGTAATATCAGGACAGAGTGTGGCAAGCCTAGCCCAAACCCCAGAAGTTCTGGCATGCAGTAGCAATATTAATAGGAAAAATGCAATAAATACTTACTTCATTTTCTTAATCCTCACATCAAATTTATGAGATAATTACTGTTATTTTCTCCAATTTACTCCTGTGGAAACCTAGAGACAGAACGGTTAAGTAACTTTCCCAAAAAGACACAGCTAATAAGAGGTGGAGACAGTTCTCCAACTCAGGCCTCTGATTTTAGACTCATGCTTAATTATTACTTTTGAGAACAGAGTGGCAGAATGAAAGAAGCAATGGGCCCAACAATCACTTCCTTGCTTTTTAAGGAAAAATGTATCTGTTCTTTTTTGAAAACATGGAAACCAAAGAACAGTGGGTATACTGAAGACATGTTGGGACTTACAAATTGGGGTCTAAAAGTAGCCTCCAGGGTTTATGAAAGAGTGCCTGGTGTTTGTGCCAGGTCACCA